CGCCGGCCCGCCCTTTTGAGGTCGTCGGGGCGCCTTCCCAAGGACACGTGTTGGGTGTTGGCGCGAGCTTTGACGGGTGGACCCCTGTGTGGGGCTTGGCTAGCGATCGGCCCCGGCGGGCGGACCCTGCCCACCCGCGAGAAGCCGGTGGTGGGAAAGGCGTGCGTGTGAGCACCGCGGCGGGCAGGCGGTTGGGGCACTCGCTGGCTGACCCATCCCTTCCCGTTCTTTTCCAGTGTGCATCTCTTTTCTGGGAAGGTTCTACCAGGACCTGAAGGACAAAGATGTCACGTTCTCCCCGGCCACTATTGAAAAAGAACTGACCCGCTTCTGCCGGGAGGCCCGGGGGAAAGAGAATCGTTTGGTGAGTGGCCACAGGCCCTGCTGACCGCGGAGGCCCCTTGACAAAGCCCTGCCCACTTGTCTGCTAGGCCAGCTGTTTCGCCGTGGACTGGGGCGTTTGCAGCCTGCCTGTCTCTCCTGCTGGTGTGCTGGGCCTCGGGCCTGGGGGAGAGATGACTGGACTGGGGGGGTGGAGGGGTGTTTGAAGAGAATGGACCAGATGCGATGGTGTGGCCCGGTGCAGATTTGTCGAGGAGAACCTCTGAGGACGGTCCTCACTGAAGCGAGGGTACAGCAGAGGTGACAGGTGACGGTGAGAGGATGGCAGGAGTGGGACGTGAGCAGAAGGCAGGAGTCCCTGGAGAAGCACCGGCTTGTGTCTACTGCGCTGCTGGTAGAGCCTGGCTTCTGTTTAAAGGCCGAGTCCTGGGCCTCCCCCCACCCCCACCCCCCAGTCCCTCCGCTCAGGGGCAGTGTGCTGTGGTGGGCCTGGGCTTGGTCCCGACCAGCTCTGATGCCAGGGCAGGTGGGCACCAAGACATGAGGCCCTGGCGGAGACCAGAGAGGTTCTAGAGGAAGGAGACAGCCCACCGCCTGAAGGCCATCGCCATTTGTCTGCCGCAGTGCTACTACATCGGGGCCACAGACGATGCGGCCACCAAGATCGTCAACGAGGTGTCAAAGCCCCTCGCCCACCACATCCCCGTGGAGAAGATCTGCGAGAAGCTCAAGAAGAAGGACGGGCAGATCTGCGAGCTCAAGTACGGTGAGTCCTCGCAGACCCGGACGCGGCCTGCGCGGGCAGCCTGGCCTGGCCTCACCTCGTGAGGGTCCCCAGCAGCAGGGGCGGGCCGGTGGGGTCAGTGGTGAGAGGGTGGTAAACAAGTGAACTTGCTGCCACTGCTGCCTGCCAGTTGGTGCGACGGTGCAACCCGGTGGTGGAGCAGAGTGCCCCGCAGGGTTTCTCCGCAGGAGCTCGCCAGGCCTTTCTTCCGCGGCAGCGGGAGGTGGACTCCGACGTGCAGCCTTGCCCTTCGTGGCCAAGTGGGTTCCAGACCTGAATCACTGGGGCCATGTTCTGGGGGCAGAGGGGGTCAGACCTCACAGATGTGATATTTCAGCGCTGCTCTGAAGGACATAAGAGGCAAACTGAGGTGGGAGCTAGCTAAGGGGTCAAGGTGGGCGACACCTGGCAAGCAGGTTACAGAGGGGACCCATCAGTCTAGAAAGCTCGTTATCCGGGTGAAGGCAGGCCGGGTAATGGGTTCTGAGGAGGGAGAGGCCGCGCTAGGCCAGCTCACTGCACCACCGCCCGGCCTCTGGCTGCACAAACAGGCGTGTGCGTGCAGAAGTCAGGGCCGGGCACAGGCACTCTCTTGTGAAGACACCCACATGCTCCACTAGGACTGCACCATCCAGAGGCCTGTGTCCACCTACTGGTGGCAGGATGCCTGGTCTGAGGGGACCCTGCTAGGGACTGGGACAGCAGTGGTCAGGGCGAGAAGCTCCTGGCCCCAGGGCTTTTAGGCCGTGTGGTCCATCACATCTGGCACACCATCGACAGGGACTTGTCCTCCCTGTTGACTGAGAGGCACTTGGGGACAGGGGCTCTTCTCCAAGGACTGTGTAGCCATTCCTGCCTCTGTCAACACTTGGGGTGTGTGGGTGGACGCTGCCAACATAAGGCCAGCCTTCCCGGTGAAGGGGCCTGGGCCTCCCCAGGGGCAGTAGGTGTGACCACCTGAGCAGGGCTACTGGGGGCCAATGGCCTCCCTAACCCATCCACTCACTCTCTTGCCCGCTCTCCCCTGCAGACAAGCAGATTGACCTGAGCAGCGTGGACCTGAAGAAGCTCCGCGTGAAGGAGCTGAAGAAGGTCCTGGACGACTGGGGGGAGACGTGCAAAGGCTGTGCCGAGAAGTCCGACTACATCCGGAAGATTCACGAACTGATGCCGAAATACGCGCCCAAGGCGGCCAGTTCACGGACTGATTTGTAGTTGGCGACCCTGCTGCCCCGAGGGAGCAGCAGTTCCTGCCTTTACCCACCTGGCCTTTTGTAATTTATTCTGTACGCGGGCCCCCCTGAAGTGGGGTGTGAAGCCTGCAGCTGGGGCTGGAGCACCGTCCCCTCCCCCCCAGGGGGTTCACTTCGTTGTTGCTGGTTTACTCTAGGATGGAAAGTGTCTGGGATTTTTTTATTAAAGGAAAAAATTTCTAGTTCTTGGAAAATGAAACGTGAGTATTGAAAGTAGGCCTTCACCCATAATGAGGCTACCACTGGCTTCTGCTTTCCTGTTTGCAGACTTTCCATGTGCCCTCAGCCAGTGCCACCAAGGCAGGGCGGCATGGACGAGGGCCCGCAGCTGTGAGGTCCAGCGGGACAGGAGGGTAGCCAGTGTCTCAGAGATGCCCCAGCCCAGTGTCTCACTCAGGAGAAGGGCTGGAGGCAGCGGGGCCTTGCATAGGGTTTGCTTCCGAGTGTCCCTGTCTGCTCACTCAGACTGACCGACTGCTACCCTGCGGGGCTCTTGGCCCAGCCACAGAGGACTTGCTCATCTGGTTCCGGTCTAGTGCCAGTGCCCTGCCTGTGGTACCTAAATTGGGCTTTTGGCAAGACTGGCTGAGGGTGACTGGTACAAGGAAGGGATGGGGCAGCTGCTTGTGGCCGTTGCTTACCCAAGATAACCCAACACCAGCCATCCTGAGGGCTTCTCCCGAGCCGCTCTTGGGGCTGCTCTGCATGCAGTGGTGCTCGGGGAAACCTGTTGCCCTCATGGCCTTTGCCTCAGTGAAGGCCCTTTGGCTCTTAAGGAGAATGCTGGGAGGGGGAAACTGGTGAGAAGCCATGCTTTCCAAGAAAAGGTGTCTGGTGCCAAAGTTGCGTTTGCGCAGCAGGTCTCCCAGGCTGCTTGACACCAAGCCGCCTGCCCCTGGCCTCTGCAGCATCGGGGGAGGCCCAAGAGTCATGGTCCTTGTGGGGGCCACATCCTTGTGTTTGGGGCACCACATAGGCCACTCAGGTCAGACTAGCAGCCTAAGTGTCCCCCAGACCTGAAGGTGCTGGGGGAGTGGCCGGAGCTGGTGGGCTTGGTGTCCCACACCAGATCGGATGGGTGCTGTGTCTTCCAGGCTACATAGAATACAGGAGTGGGCACCAAGCCTAGGTTGTGGAGAGCACTACAGAGTAAGGGCTTGTGTCCTGCAAAAGGTGGGGGTGGCTTTCTCCTTGAGACTCCCCAAAGCTGCTTTCTGGTGGGGGAGGAGGGACAGGATGACGTCACTGCGGCCTACTATGTTTTTGTGGCCAGGGCTTGTCAGTTTCTCCGATGGCTGCATCAGCTGTTTCTGGCGAATGAAAACTTCCCCGGCATGATTGGGCACCTAGGCAGTGAAGAGGTCCTGCCTCAGGAGGGCATTGGCCAGCTCTGCTAACTGGTAGAACTACTGGGTGAGGTTCCTCTTCCCTTTAGGCTCAGGCAGGCCCTGCCCATCATGTCTACTCAGATCCCCGAAGCAAAGGGTGGAGCTCGGAGATGCAAGGAGCAAGCATATCGGGCCGGGAAACACTGCAGGTCTCCGGCTTCTGTGCTTGGGGACGGCTCGCCCACTGCAGTCAGCGAGGGCCTTCTCGGCCTGTCTCGAAACGGCTGCGGATGAACGTGAGCCCAGGCGATGCCCGGGATGTAGGCTGTGGCTCAAGCAGGCCAGGGGAGGAGTTTGCGTCCACGCTGGACACCAACACCCGGGCCGGAGGGAATCTGCCCAAAGATGGGGATGTCTTCACGCCTAGTCCCGAGCTTTGGACATAAAAGAGGTTGCTGGGTTAAGGCCCCGAATTCAAGGGTCCGCAAAAGCTGACACCTGCGCCCATCAGCGGGCGCCAGCGTCGAGTCGGGCAGCACGAGGCAGCCGAGTTCCGGCCCGGCTCCCGAACGCTCCCGTGAGCGCGGTCTCGACACCTTCGGCCACGCGGTGGCGCCAGAGCACGCAGCTGGACCCGCTGACCCACCAG